ACTTTTTTCTGTTCATTAATAAAACATGTTGAATTCCCAACAGAGAGACCACAAAATACTAGCCTCTTTTTCACACTTTTAAGTACAGTAAGAGCCCTGTGAGTCCCCATTTGACTTTTGATCTCCGATGTCCAAGCTAAATTACATACAGCACTTTCTGGACTATGAAGCGCACCTTTGTGTAAGCTGCATCAGAAACAAAAAAAAGTTTTCCACATACAAACCACACTTGACATTAAGCCGCAGGTTTTCACATAGCTGATGGAGCCAAACAAAGTAGATAGACAACTGTTTTAATTGGACAAATCGTGAAGATGTTTAACAGCGTGAACTACCATGCCAGTACTCATTCACCAAAATATTTCATAAATGAACGAGTGTCTTATAGCTACTAAAACATGATGGAGTAAAAATATGTCACACAGTTGCAGATCACACCCATTTGTTACTGCTGTTTGATGGGGAATTTCCTTTTCTATTGCTTCACTCTATTGAATAAATGGAGTCTAACGTAAGTGTATACTTGAACATTACTACGTACAACATTTTTACAACGTCTGTCGGAAACGTCTGTCTACACTGAGTTTGCTTTCAAGTGCAAATAACATATATAATTTCTGCGTGAAAGAATCCTCCAAGCACAAGCATTCTTTTCTTACTGCAGCTTAAGTGGTTGGACAGGAATGCATTTGCAGATATAGCATAAATATAAAGCCAATGCTCTTCACAGATAAAGCTGCGGAGAATGCTCTGCCATAAAATGCCTGGTATAAGAATACACACTTTACTGGAGCCAGTGGACCATGCAACTGACAACACCTGTCTGACCACCGGCTACCCCCCCCCCCCCCCCCCCCCCCCCCCCACGCCCCCCCGCCCAGACTCATGGAGTGCCCCCCTCCTCACTTGGGAGTCTCTTCAGTCCTGGAACCACAGCCTCAATCCTGGATATATGGTCCCAGTCCTGGATCTATAGCCTGAATCCTGGATATAGTCTAAATCAGGTGTCTCCAACGTTTTTCACATATTTGCTACTAGTGCACAAAGTCAGTGCACAGTAATTAATGAGGATAAATAAAAATACAATCGGAAATATTAAGTGTATTGGATTTGTTAATTTCCAAATATTTTGGTGAGCTACCTGGAAGGGGGTGGTGAGCTACTGGTGACTCCCAAGCTACGGGTTTGAGACCCCTGGTCTAAGTCTTGGATCAACAGTCTCAATCCTGGATCTATAGCCTCAGTCCTGGATCTAGAGAATGTCAGTTTGTGGGAGTAGACCCTTCTCTCAATATCACCCTCGTTGATGATCTGGGATATTAAAGGACATATTTGGACTTTTATGCACATTTATGACCCTCTCTTGAACTTCCTGATAATACTTTCTGTAAACTCAGACTTTTTAATCAAACTTTTCATAAGAAACTACTCATTGATAGAGGAAAAACTGTCATCCTTTACCAGCATATAAAGTAAAAATAGTGAAACAGCTGCCATGCAACCTCTGCAGCTTTGCCATCAGCATCACCCCAACACAACCTCACTCATTGTCATTTTGCTACCTTCATCGACGTTCCCAATAACGTGCCTCTAGCGACATCTCCGACACTCTACAATGGGTGACACTTGTGTTCCATAAGTTAATGACATTATGATAGATGAGGCTTATCTGTTTACCCAGAATGCACGAGGCCATCCGTCAGGCGCTCGTCCCAGCCTTTCGACAAGGGCCCGGCTATCTGCGGCGTGACAGCCATCATTCATATCTGTAACATCATCTCATTAAAAGACATCACTCCTGCCAGACAACGCTGCTTTGTGGAGCGAAGCAAATTGATTCGGAGTCTATGCATATGAGGGAATGATGAATAATGCATGTGGAGCCGGGGCTTATCTGCTGTCCCAAACAATGTAACGTGCATGCGCTGAATATTCACACAGGTGAGCAAAGGGCCCTTATTAGCAGTGCACAGGTGGGCTGCCATTTTGGATTCGACGGCGGAGTTGACAAGCGGATGCAACACTTTGGTGATGTGGGATCGGTGTAACGGCGGGAAGAAGGTGTGGAGCTGACGGATACGGATACAACTTTCCATTGAGTTGCTGTTGTCTGCGCTGTTGTTATGAGAGAGATTCATGCCGTGTTACATTATGCTTAGACATACTCCCAGCTAAAAATCTGTGATAAAAGAGGGTTTCGCAGCATTGCAGAGGTATGTTTGCTTGAAGGGAGAAAAAACAGCTGATCGCCAATTTAATCGCAAGAACCAATGTAATGGTTATGTTTTTTATCTGTTAGACGGGTTCATCTAGGAATGGAAACATAGATGAACTTGATAAGAATAAAATGAGAATCCCAATGTATAAATGACACTTGTAAGAAGCGTAAGCTAAATAAATGCTTATTTAGCTTCAGCTTCAGCTTCAGCCTTCAGCTTTTCAGTCTTTCTGCTGTAAATGTACAGCTCAGTAGTGGTGTCTACGAAAGTACAGGTGACTCATTGTGTATACGCACTTCAGCACTTCATAACTCATCACTGACCCCTGCCCTTACGACCGTCACTTTATACTACTGTCACTTTAACTTGCAATAAGTGCACACAAAAGCTATTTCCTAGAATTACAGCAGTAGTTCTAGGAAATGATTTGATTTTTTTTATGCATGCCTCATGTCTATTTTCACTTTTATAAATTAAGCTAATGCAAATTTGTAGTTTGTGACTTCCTGTTACTTACGATGAAAAAAAATATATATATTCTGATCCTTGCGCTGGAGCCTGTTGGGCCTTTGATGTGACCGTGTTTGAGCTGATTCACATTCCATCAAAGTGATTAAAGTGGCATCTTGTATTTTATACCATTCTTAGATCAATACTGAGATGTCAAATGCACTAAACTAATCCCCTGGTGTCGTAGATGATCACTGAAGCAGAAGCATGTTCAGGCGTCTGGGATTTCATCACTAGGATGAGGTGCTCTTTAAAGGGACAGTATGTAACATGCACTACCATAGGTCTAATCCTTTTGTTGCCTTAATCTTCCAGTCTGTGACACATGCAGTTTCTAGCCACAAGTTACTGATGCAATCCACCTGCTGGGGTTTAGCTAGAAATGGTGCTGACTCTGTATCACATATGACCTCTTATATTTGCACCTGCTTAAATTCAAACAAGTGGGTGGTGTTTCTGTTTGTGAAGTTTGTTAATAAAAAAGGAGAGCCAAAACCAGTTACATTTCACCTAAAAAAATGGCAACCCAAGTGAGAGACTCATTCTGCCCTCTGATTGGTTAATCAACTTGTAAATGTTTTTTATTCTATTTCAGTTAATAACAATTTAACTTGACCTGTTATTTAACGACACATGAAATACATTCATTTTAAATCGGAAGTGTCACATTTTTGAAAGTTGACCAGCCAACAGACACCATAGTGTATGTTTGATTATGAAAGCCATGGCTATCACACTGTGTAAATGTCTATGTGTCATTTCCATATTGTAATGTTACTTAGGCTGTCTACATTATTTATTTCAATAATAAATGTTTTTGGCTTAAAAGAAAGAGTCCAACTAGAGCATGGAAATTTCATCTTTGAAAAAGTGAGTTTGAATAGAAGGCACCCCTTGTTTTAGGGTCCACAAAAACTCATCCTTTAAAGTAATTTGAAGTGGTTCTTAGAAGAATAGCTCTTTCGAAGCTGAAAAAAAAATCAACCCAATGATGGTGTGATTATGAAGTACGTCCAACTCCCTTCCCTCCTGCTCTGCTTTCTTCTGCAGATCCGCCTTAAAACCCCAAAGTCTGTGAAGATGGAGGTCGATGATGAATTCTGCGCTCTTCTGAACATCTTCACGCTCCCAAATGTCAGAGGATCTTCCGTTTGCGATACGAGCTGCGCATAAATGTCAGACCAGAGGAGGAGAAAGACAGAAAACTCCAAACATGTGTGTTGATAGAACTCCAACAAGAGCTTTCTTTTGTGATGTCGGTTAATGAGGTTGGGAAATCAAAATCAAAGCCTGACCTTGTTCTTTTGGCAGAGGCTCCGCAGTGAACTGAACTCTGTGTTTACACCAGGCATCAAACATTCAAACAACAGCGGCGGCAAACTCATCCACAGTCTTAAAAAACTTGGAGAGCGCATCAAAGAAGAAGGAACAGTCTTTCCACAAACTCACAGGGCAGGGGGTCTGGCTGTGGGAGGTGATTATACTTTCAATTGAAATGTTGAAAATATTGAAATGTGTCCAGTCAACTATACACAACGTGACTGAAACAGCTGAAACTTGAAGATAGTTATGAATATTCAGGTAATCTTTATTTCCTGCACTGAAACGAGAGCAGAAGTACGTTGAATAAATGCATAGACGTGTGTGCAAAGTATAACGCAATACAACTTACGATGATGGCTTCATCTTTGCCTGAAACAAGTTTATCCTGCATTAGCTCTATGAAGCCTCTTGTATTTTGGATCAAGTTTTGCTCCCTCCACTTACAGCCCCCCTGTTCTGCCATACATATAGGTGTGGTACTCTGTAAGCTCAAACATACATAGCACACATAACAGTCACACACGTTCTGTCAGTGTGTGACAAACACATTTCTCTCTTCATCTTCTTTGACACCGGTGCTAAACTTTGGATCCTACTTCCTAAACCAAAGACCCTCTAAAGCCTTAAATGTCCTGTTTAAGCCTAAAACGAGCAGGTACAAAAGGTACAGTGCTTCATGCAGTAACACCAGATTGTGTTCCATTGGCCAATGGTTTAAGATAAGTCAAAATATTCTCAAATGTCAATAGATTTAGCATAATTTGAGCAAATTTAAACTAAATGTTTGTCACATCTTGTTATATAAATCTCTCCTAGTGAAGGTATATAACAAAGAAAACCGAATTAAATCACTTTTAACTTGATGAGACATGTCTCTCGTCACCTCACATCTGCAGTGCCAAGGACTTTTGACAATAGAACGTGAGGATCAACATAAAGGTGACTCACCGAAAGCGGTGTAGAACTCTTCTCTGGTGAGGTGCTCATCGTCGTTCATATCGTTGTATTTGAGGAGGTCGAAGAGAGAGCATTCCCCACCCTCCCGGGACAGTCCCTCCTGTTTGATCACCTGCAACACATACATACACAAATAAATCCAATGTGTTTACAAATGCAGACTGATTGAGCAATATCATGGGTAGAGCTCATACTGATATGTTTCTTCGCCTCTTGTTTGTCTCATTTTGATTGCAACTAGGTCATACAGGTCAGTCAGTCTGGTCAGTCATGACAAAGCTAGTAAATAGCTTTTTCATGACAAAGATGTTTTTGTAATCTAAGTATAAACTGACAATTGGAAATATGTTTTATTTGGAAATGTTTTCTTAAGGGCTGTACCAATGCTCTATGGTCATAGCTATAGTGTCCTTTATTGTCCTTGAAGGGAAACATCCTCTACCCTTGATCCATCTAGCATTTCCTCTAAGGTCTGGAGCAGTGGTCACTACATTGCTGTGTCAGGGAAACCATCTTGGTAAATGTTGATACTGATCTTTGTCAGGAATTTTAAGTAAGTAATTTAAGTATGATTTTCCGCAGTTATTTAATAGGCTACAGTTTAAAAATAAATTAAGAAATATTAAGAAAATTAAGAAATAACTGCGGAAAATCATGGACAACAACTAAATTACTGTATAACCCTACATCAGGGAACATAAGGAGATAACTACTACTACTACGGTAGATAACTGTCGTAGTTCTCTTGCTTCTCAGCAAGAAGGTCCTGGGTCCAATTCCAAGTCGGAACGGGGCCTTTCTGAGTGGATTTTGCATGTTCTACCTGTGTCCTGCGTCTGCATAGGTTTCCTCCAGGTGCTCCGGTTTCCCTACCACTAAAACATGTATATAGGTCTGGCTTGCGCCTCCTGTATGGCAACGACGCTCCCATCTCTGTGTGGCGTGAGAGACAAATCCCCTCAAATGTCTGTGAAACGCGCTTTATAAATAAACATACTTACTTAGATATGCAATGACTCAAAATGTAATATTTAGGATCATGTGTCTAATATCTGAATTCTTAGGAGAGCTACCTGAAAGAGGTTGGAGAGCTACAGGTAGCTTCAGAGCCACAGGTTGGAGACCGCTACTTTACAGGGTAGGGGAAGCAGAGCAGACGGAGAAAGAATCTTTGCAGGAAAATCAGGATAAAAAACTCTCGTCTATCTCTAAACTCACTACAATCAGATTATAATCAGCCACATTCCGCTCCTAACACAGCCTCATGTCATATTTCTTTTTGTCAGTCGTATGATGTAAACTCCTCTCTTTAAAACATTCTGAGTTGTTTTAAATCCTTCAAAGAGCTATTCGACGCAGAGTCCACTGTGGGTTGTCACGTTTGATTGACAGCCGTCAAATGGTGCACAGAGTTCTGTGTGAGCAGAGCTTTGCGCAGACTTCAAACCTCTATAGAAACAGTGGAGAGGCATATGGCAAGAGAGTATTGTCTCACTAAGACGAAAAAGCGTTCTTTTTTTTGTTTGTTAGCAAACAACAGCTGTAGAGTTTTTTTTTCGGTCAACATTAATAATTTACTCTACAGACATTGATGACAGAGAGACAAGACTATTTCATTATTTAGCCCTGTTCAGAAGATTCACACAAGAACATGTCTTTACTCACTGAAAAAAACAGCTATTTGATAACAGCAAACATTCTATACAATCTGAATTTCTCATCATCAGTCAGTAGAGTTTATATTCACACTTCAGATGTGTACTTCATGCATTGGTCTGAGAGTAGATCTTCTTTTGAGGCTGTGAAATCCAAAGACATATTTCCTTTGGCGGTAGCTCAGTGGAAGAGGATTCATCCCTGGATCCCAAGGTCGGCAGTTCAATACCAGCTCTAATCAGTCTATGATGTGAAACGACAGCCACATTTCCCCAGGGTGCACGTCTATTCAGGGCTATAGCTTTATTGTTCATGAATGTCAATATCTTATGAATGATAGCATCGTTGCAAGATGCTTTTTATCGCAGAGAAAACACCATACACCATACATACCAGTACAGTTTTAGAGGCTGGACTTTTCTAATTCCAATGACCTTAAAAGTGTGCACATCCAAACAGACTTCTTTTTTTTGGGCCGAATTCATATTATATCCACATATTCACATAACCCTGACCTGTGACAATACATTTTCACAAATAAAAAAAGAGGAAGAACTATATGAATGTAAAGACATGGAGCCTCAAACCATAAACAAACTGTTGTAGCAGCCTACACAGCACACCGTGTTTGAGCGTCCTCACCAGTGGCACCAGGACACCTCAATGTTACTTCAGTTTATTGTGGATTAGCAATAGTTGATAGCGAAACATAGAAACCACATGCTAGCGGTCTGAGTACACTCTGATGTGCAAAACATTACAGCAGTCATTACAAACAGGCATGAGTTGGATCCACTGGCAGGGGAGGACGCAGGTCAGACCTGGCAGCTTCTTTCAGGTTTCAGGTTCTTTTTGACCTTTTTATTCAAATTGCCTCGAATTTATCCCCAGGGAACTATGTCCCTCAGCCGGCCTGGTAATGCCTCGCATTTCCCCGAATGAGCTGGAGGAAGTGTGCGTGGATGAGGGAGTCTGGCCCCCCGCGGTCCGGCAACGGAACAGCTTTAGTGAAATATTATGGAAGTTGATGGGAGCGAGGGGTGTGGTCAGCGGAGCCGGTGTTGTGTGTGTGTTTGGGGTTTTTATTTGCCTCATACTCTGTGGTACCCATCCGTAAACTCAATTATTATTTCCCTACATATACATATACGTCTGGATCTGGTCCCTGTGTCTGCAGCTACATCGGTTGAATCCTGTCCGACCATTCAGTGAGCGTGGGATGCGGTTGTTGTAGGTAGGTGTCAATGACGTCAACAATTTGCGCCGAATTTTCTGGTTGTAGTTTGGCAATGGCAGCGAATACGATAGTAAAGTAATCCGTTTTGCATAAAACCGTATGAACTGCACAATATCATATTTGTATTCTGTATGTTTATTAGCTGCATCGCATTCTCTGTATTATCGTGTTGAATGGAGAGGGGGTTGGGAAAAATAAGCATCTACTGTACTTCATCCAACCCCTTCTCAAACCTGTATTAGTGTGAAGATGTGTGAAATTGTGTTCTACAGGTTTGTTATAAATACGTAACAAACAAACTAACAAACAAACAAACACGGAGACACTCCTCCAAACTCGCATGGAACTTGTGACCATGAACACAACACTCACACGTTATAAGCGGCACTCTGCATTAAATCCTCCATCCATCACGGAGCATTTGCATTGTGTCTGCCCGAGCGCTGGGTGCCACCGTTAATGACGCTCGCCCGGATTATCTGTCACCGGGACTGAACCAGGGGCCTCTCATGTGGGCCCCTGAGCGCATCCATCATAGGCCATCATCCATCTGCGCGCCAATGACACCCGACAGCTTCCAACACGATGCACTATCTGCCAGATCACTGCGCTCTACTCACAAGTTCTGCCGGAGTACAGCCGTTTGTAAGTTCAACAGGAGGTTTTGAGTTTGGTGGGTGAGGGAAAACTGTTATGGTGAAAAACTAGTGAGCCAGGGAGATAGGATGGTGTTGTGCTTGAAAGACAAAATAGAGATAGAGAGAAAGATAGATACTTTGTTGATCCCCGTAGGAGAAATTCAGGTGTCCAGCAGCAGAAACACATCCATCCAGTATAAAAATTATTTGAAATCTAAATGTTACTAACACTATTGTCATATTTCGACCCTGCTAATATTAAAGCTGGGGTACTCAACCTAATGTTTTCATAAATGATACACTGTGTTTGTCCTATCAGAAAGAGTCAAATCAGACCACAACATCTTCATCTGATTAGAATTGCTATCTTATATTTGGACATTGGACATTTATCAACATTTATGGACATTGGTCATCCGCCTCTTATGGACCAATGGCTCTCACTGCATCTACTGTGTTTTAACTTTTTGCTTCTCCTATCTGTGTTGTATCAGAATCAAAGTATCAGAATCAGAATCATTTTATTGCCATTTGCAGAAAAAACTACATTGGAATATAAACAGGAGACAACGGGGGCACCAACACCACAAAGCACACACACACACAGACAAAAATAACAATAATAGCCAGACACAGTGAGGCAAATATAAAACTCTTAAAAGCATAAGTACTCAGAGATAACTGCTGTTGTGATTAAGGGCTAGACAACATATATGTAATTGAATTTCAACACATGACATTATTGTTTGTACTTACTTACTGTATGTTTGTTTACCATGCATGTACCTTGATATTGTATTGCGTCACCTGGCACATAGAACACTTTTGTCTTTTTTTTCTTAATTGGAAAAAACAATTTTTTTGATGCCTTGGGATTATTGGCTGAGTCAGGGTGGTCCTCTCTTTTTCACTTCTGTCTGAAAAAGCTGATCTAAAAATGTGACAGAGGTTAAAAATATAGGTCCGTAAAAAGTAGTGATAGAAAAGAAACTATTTTAGAGCCAGGAACTAGTTAGATGGATGTATTATTATTTACTTAAGTTTCATTATTTGTGGTTTGAAAGTTAGGTTCCCAAGCTTTAAATCAGAGGATATAATAATGTAGATGCCAGGACACTGCAGTTATGCGGCCATACTCCAGCTCAACATTTGGAGATGGAGTTGAGACGTGAGAACTAGTCAGATGATGAGGAGTGTAATGTGCATTTGATTGACTCGCAGGCCTCATTTGTGCGTCTGATGGGACGCTGCAGGATGCTCACATAAAACATCAATTCCATAATGAACCGTTTCAGAAGAACAAGCAAGCATCACTCTACTTTAACTGCGGTTACAGTCAAACAAGCAGGCTTACACCCACACACTGGAATATAAGCCATAATGTAAGCCATCTTATTTGTTAATTTTCTTTGATAAAGGACCCCCTTGAAAAAGAGATAGTTTATCTCAATGGGGCTATCCTTAAATAAATAAATAAATAAAATATCAAACACAGACTTGTGTGTATGAGCGTGTGTTCAATATATATTCAGAAAGCGTTAAAATAATGCATCAGTTTTATTTAGCGCTTTTTTGGACACT